TTCGAATAACGTGACGATCCCGAAGAGCAGCTGAACAGCCAGCACATTTTGCTGCACAATCGGAAGGGGGGTTTAAAGTCCCACCTTTTCGATCAGAAATGGTAAATGCACTTGATTTATGCTTAACGCGCTTTTTAGGATTCATGAGAGGGTTTTCTGAAGATTTTAATGGAGCGAGAGAAATAGGAGAGTTCTGAACGCCCTCCTGAGCATGCCTAAGGGTGTAAATACCAGAGAAATTCGGAGAATTTTCCGTTACTATGTCTGAGTAGTTGCAAGAGGAATTTGTAGCATTATTTGCATCGGTACTGAGAGAAAGAACTGTTGAAGGCATATAGCAGAATTGTCGTACTTGTTGAACTGTCTGCGCCGATGGATGGTAATTGTAGACAGACGGCAAAGATTGGGGGTCGTTTTTGCAAGGACTACTGACTAAAGAACCGGGAGAAAGTGAACGAGTGGTCGGGCTAGTCATGGCAGAAGCAGACAAAGAAGAGCTTCCAAGACGACCGGAAGACATTACATAACTGATACAGCAGCAGCAAAGATTGCAACGTGTTCAGAAAATGAAGCAACGGCGAGCGAAGATGAATCTGTGGGTATTTTACAATTTAACTGATTATTAACACCATAATTTGAGGTATTGATAGCTGCATGGTGATGGAGTAATCAGCCAAAAATATGTTAAATTCGGTCAACAGCAAAAGGTTTATTGAAAGCGATCATCAATCGAATACAGAGGCCTTAGCATCAGCCATTGCAGCATAAAGACTGTGACATAAGGGTATTGCATGAATGCGAGCTTTCGTTTGTGGTGGCTTAGGGACAAGATTAAGACGAAGCTGGATAGTTCAAGCCTCGAACTGGTCTGGGAAGTTGAACAAACTCGTTAGTCCAAGATAATAGCTTAAAATAAATATACAAGCTTGTAAATATATTCTGGAGGTAGTAAGTAAGATTATTGTAGATAATGAGAGAGTATTTACATAATGGCAGATTAAATTCTGTTCGATAATAGGCTTACGTAAGCTTAAGTTAAGACTTATAGGGTAATATAGCATGAATTAATGTTTCTATATATCTTTTGATAGGAACTTAAACAGGAATAGGCAGACAGGTGAAATATGATACTAGGTAAAGATAAATCACATAATGTATTCGTAAAATGTGTAGGTAAAG